GGAGGAAAAGAGAGTCAGATTAGTTTTGTATGTATGTGTTAGATTTTTAAGAAGACCATATTCTGTTCTCAGTCTCTTTTTATTCTGCTCAGTTTTGTTAACATAAATGTTATGTTTCTCTTCTTCAGCTGAAATCAGGGATGGGTCCTGTAATTTTTTTTTTAACATAAGAATAGTTCAAACCAGTGGGTTCTGCTATTTACTTAGTTCAGGAAAACCAGAGTTCTGACATGTCAGATTAAAAAAAAATCCTTGGTTTCCTTTGAAGCAATTTTAAAGAACATCAGTCATAGGTGAACACCTCAGGAGAATCCTGAAAGTTTTCATTGTTAATTATCTTCCCTTCAAGTTTCTTTTAGTATCTAAACTAAATTCAACCCACACAAAGGTTGAAACTGTTATTTTTATCACTGACCTTTTTAGTGCAATAGTACTAGTTAATAAATACTTTAAATAACTCATTTCAGAAAAATGTGAGACTATCTTAAAGTTTATTTTAGTCTTAGTTTTTGTGGGGTACTATGTACCATGCATGGTGAGGTTCTGTTTGTCTGCTCGGGTATGGGCTGAGTTTTAGCTTGTTTGCACAACTTCAAATCTGAAAGTCCATTCTCTTTTCTTGAAAGCCAGATAATCTCAAGTACTTTCCAATGACTCCATCCTTCAGAATTACTTGGTATCTTAGATTCTGGCTGACTTTGATTTTTCAGTAAGCTTCCATTTCAAAGACTTCATTTTTTCATTTTAAGGCTTTACTTTTCACCTGTGCACCATGTTTCCTCTTGCTGTAGAAATTGTAGTTTCAGGAAAAATATTTTTTTCCTTAAATGTGTATACTAAATTTCTAGAGATAATGTTTATTTAATGAATAAAATAACGAGTAAATGAGAGGATTAATTTTTGCATTCCAATCACTTCCAGATTTGATTAATTTTCTTTTAGTTTGGTAAGAAATGTTTTTATTTTGTTGTCTTTATTTAAAAAGAAAAACAACCCTGAAAACCACTTTGTGGGTATGTGTATTTAAAAATGTATATACACACACACGCAGACCTCTTCTACCCAACCCCCCCCACACCGAGAGCTTCCAAATTCCAATCCATAAAACAATATGATGGCCAAGGTAAGGGCTCTGGGCATAGTGGCCCAGTGACATGGGGCTTGTTTCCAATCCCAGTAAAGCAGTCACTCTCAAATATTTCCAGTTAATGGATAACTTATCAGGGCAAAGGCCGTGAATACCACCTTCCTCTTTTACATGTCTTTCCACGATAAAACATGTTGCCACATCCAAAGTGCAAAAACCTGATACTTTTGCTTGGATACTGAAACCATTCATTCATGCACACAGCAGGTGCTTGTGGAGCTCTTGCTTACGTGCAAGCCTGTGGTGCATTAGGTTCCAAGGGACACTCCGTAAATACCTTGCAGGTCATCAGTGGTCCTGAGACTATGCTGAGTGACATATAAATAGAAAGGCCCTAATTATTTCCTAACTTTTGATTTAACCCAGAATCATTTGGCTTATAGACGCAGAACAATTTTCAGGGAAGATTATGTGATGCAGAGATGTGGTTCTCTGTCCACATGTGGGGAGTTCATGCAGTGCTTGTAAAGTGATAAGGCATTGGTGGACTCTATTTAATAGGTCATGTTTTGGTTTCTGTGGAAAATTAAATAGAAAAATTTTCATTTGTCTCTATTTATAAGCTATACCTTTTTTTAAAATTAAAAATTAAATAACATGATTCCACGAGGTATGGCAGTAGGCCCCTTTACACAGTGTCTAAATGCCGCTGGCCACAGCTAGCGGTGCTTTTTTAGAACTCGCTTCATACCTTCCATTTGAGGACTTACTCCATAAAACAAGTGTATTGTAGATTTTGTTAAGTTAGCACTTTAAAAGGTCACAAATGATATGATTGCCTTTAACCTGAAACTGTCAGGTTTAAGACTCATAATATATACCAAGTATATTTTATTTTCCAAATTGCGTCTGCGTTATGATAATGATATTTACTTTTCTTTTAAAGCATTTTTTAAATCTTCAATATTTACTACACTAAGAAAGAACAGTATTTATTAGGTGATTTCATTTACTAAGTAGGAAGGAGTTAGAAGCACATCTGCAAATTTAGTTTAGCTCATGCATCACATTTACCTTAATAGATCATGTTATTATGCTCGTTTTGCATAAGAATTAGGAGTTTTAATTTTCCACTAACAAAGTATCATTATATATACATATAACAGAAAAGGAAACTTGAGCTAGATACCTGTTTGGATTATATTGATTATGTAGACATTCCTATAAATTGTTTTATTCTAATATTTTTTAAATGGTTGAAATATAAGTTAACCATTGTACCTATTTTTTAAAAATTAGTTGTGGCTGAATAAATTTGAGTTTGTTTTTAGGTTATCATTCCTTTTTCCTATGATAAACTGTTATTTTATACACCATCCAATATTGCTGTTTATTTATTCTGTGAGTTTGTCTTCCTAGTAAAATTTATGTTTCTTGAAATAAGAAACCATGTCTTTAATATTTATTTTACCTTCACAAATGCTTAGTTAGATCTCAGGCCTAGAATATTTGCTTGAAAAATACTTTCAGAATTGCCCTGAAATTTAAAGAGAATTGCTACTTTCCAGGTAGAGGAAGACAAACCTGAGATGTTATTTTAAGGGCTAACTGGCTGCTCAGTATGAGTCTTGGAATACCAAATGAGAATAAAAACTAGAATCACCAAGAAAACTGTAATATTCATTGTTGGCCACTTAGCACAGTTCTGTGCCAATAATTACATGAGAAACTATTCTAAAATCCAAAGGTGACTTGAGCATAAAATCAGAGGGGGCAGGGTTGTTGGATGAGCTAGCTGACTGTTGCCATGAAGGGAGGATGGATTGATGCATCAGTTTCTGTCATGAGGGACTAACATCAATGAGTGTTGAAGAGAAACTTGGGTACCAGGGAAGTCTTTCTCCTTGGTGGTCCTGGAAAGATGTTACTAAATTCTTGCTTATCTACTTCTGTTTCAGGCTTTTGACTAGACATTAGATAACATTTAGATAACATCTTATTACCTTCATATGACCAAAGTATAAATGAAATTTATCATCAGACAGCAATGGGAAAGCTAAATTGTAAATTTCAAGGACTAAATTATGAAGAATTGATAGACTTTTCTCATCATATAAAAGATCTAAGATTTTTTGTTTCTTCGATTTTGACTTTACCATGAATCTTATGTGTCATGAATCATAAAGGCCAGAAGAAACAATGTTACCAGTAAAGTTTTTGATTAAGAATATTTACCTTTGTGTTGATAGAAATTCATTATTTTATATTTGTGGTTAAAATGAATTTTTAAAAAATATGTGTATAAGATGGTTTTTGAGTCCCAACCACGCTGCCATTTTTTCCACTGTCATCTCTCCTTGGTATTTATGAAATGTGAAAGAAAGTTGAAACATATTTTTTAGGGACACTTAATGAGCAAAAGCTGGAGACACAGGAAGGGCTGGAGAATTCTTCATAAGTGGAGAACTACTTTTTGTAGTATGTATCACAGTAATTTCTCAAATGAAAATGTCTTAATTTTACTGCTTACCAACCATTGCTGCAGTCATGGTATCTGCTTAGGGGACAGAAAGGTTATTTTAATTTGATTTCTGACTAGTGTCTTTGAATCTGATTTAATTCCAAATATAAATATGTCTGACATAATTTTCCCTCTTTCTAGAATCTTTCAAGACATAATCTCATTATTTTGGTATGTGCTGCATTGTTCTGTTACTATTTTTTTCTAAATATTCTTAGTGTACAGTGATTTAATGGAAGTGGTAATTTTGAGAATCTGAAATAAGACAAGATAATCAGATTGATGTGAAAACAGAAGGCCTTTCAAATACCAAGGGCAGTAAGATAAATGCACACAAGTAGTAGTCTTGGTGGAGGAATAAGACAGTTTAATGATGGGATTCTTATAAGTATAAAATATAGAAATATAATTTAGCTATTATAAATTATTACCAATTAATGGAGGAAGAACATAGGGCACAAATTTAACTTTTAGAAGCTTAAGTAATCAGTTTGGACAGCCAAGTTTTCCAGAAAAGGTTATAGCTTCCAATGATCACTATTTAGAATAAATTAGTTTTAGATAAATATTTTAATAATAATTGATTGCCTTATTAATCAGAGCATAATGAACTTAACTTTTATATTACTCAGGGTTATTATGAGCATAAATATAGGGTTACATGCTATCACTGAGTTAAAGAGTATAGTCCAATACCAGTGAAATCCAGACCTTCCCATTTTCTGATTTTCCATTTTTACTCTGTGGTAGAGGTGGAAATATCTGTAAAAAAGAATAAGTAGGTGCTAAAATGGCCTTGTCTGCCTCTTTAATCTCTTCCTCTACTGGGAAGAATCTTCAAGCAAGATCTGTACACTCACCTTAAATTCCCACACCATGTAGCAAACATAAAGCTCTTCAGGGTTGATGTCATGCAAATGTTCATAGATGGTGCTTCACTGTTGCTTTCTAATTGTATGGGCTCATGTGATCATGTGCTGTGAATACCAAACAATTCTGCATTAGTAACAACTCACAGTTCAATTCAGGAAACAGTTTTGAGCATCTATGTACTCATTAATGAAGGAATAAAAGGAAACCTAAAACAGTTAATTCTCTCAAGGCAATTTTTGATCTTAGCATATGGAAAGTCTTGTCTGCTAACTGCAGTGCAAGGCTGAAAAAATAGACACCCCTGGCTTCCCAAATTCCAGTGATGATTTTTGAATAAATACAGGCAGATCTGTGGTGAGTTTTTATTTGGCTCAGTGTGTGTGTTTGTGTGTGTGTGTATGTACATATATATATGTAATACATATATACTGTATAAAGTATATACACATTTGTACACATATATATTTATATGAATATTTTGGCCTTACATTCATCTAACATTTTTGTTTTATTCAACAGAAATCTTCTCGACAGAGACACATTTTCTAAATCTGATCCAAGTAAGTATGTTTACTTGCTTTTTTTTTGTAGAAATATCACATTTTTAAAAAGATTTATTTATTTTTAGAGAGGGAAGAAAGGAGGATAGGGAGAGAGAGAGAGAAACATCACTGTGCGGTTGCTGGGAGTCATGGCTTGTAACCCAGGCATGCACCCTGACTGCGAATCGAACCTGCGACACTTTGGTTCGCAGCCTGCGCTCAATCCACTGAGCTATGCCAGACAGGTGTTTACTTGTTTTTGAAAGTCCACTTATTTTACTTTCTGATTTTGCAAAAAATGTATGAAACTCATAGTTATTGTTTAAATATTTGCTTTTTAAAAAAGATTTTATTTATTTATTTTTAGAGAGGGAAGGGAAGGAGAAAGAGAGAGAGAGAGAAACATCAATGTGTGGTTGCTGGGGGCCATGGCCTGCAACCTAGGCATGTGCCCCGACTGGGAATCGAACCTGTGATGTCTGGTTTGAAGCCCGCGCTGAATCCACTGAGCTATGTCAGCCAGGGCTAAATATTTGTTTTAAAGCCTAAAAAGAAAGAAGGGGAATGGTCTCAAGCTCTGCATGCTCATCTCTCTGAGCAGTACTCTGCCTGCAGAGGAAGTTGCTTACTATTTTGAGAATGTGTTGAAAGTGGGGATGACCCCAGTGTAGGACAACTCACCTTTGAAATTGCAGCCTCATAGTATGGCCATATGGTACAAATTATATTTGAAAAACAATCATAATGGGCCATGATTTTAAGTGATTTAGTCATAGAGTAATGCTTTTCCTTTTTTTTTTTGTAAATGAAAGCTGTGTATAAGGCATATACAACTACATGAAATATATAAAATGTTCTTGTATAAGCTGAATTTCTGGCTAATTAGAGATTTTGAAAATTAGAGATAACTTCTAAAATAATAAAGACAGTTTGAATTAGAAAACAGCAGAATTAATGTATAAATCAGTCAGTGTTTACAAATCTTGTAGCATTTAATAGCTGATACCCGACAGCTCTTTCTCTCTAAAAATATGTGAAAAAAATGTGGTTTAATTACAGGGGAAAGGTTTTGTCAGATGTTAAAATTCTTGAGGCAGTCATGAGGAAATGACATTATAATTTGTGGGCATTAAACTTTCCTGGGGCTCATTTGGCAAGTGGATGGGATTTGTAATTCCTTAATCTTTACCCCAAACCCTTTATCTCCCATTTGCACCTTTCCTTTATGGTTGACAGGATTTCCTACCTGTTTACAAATATAGGTATACCTTGAAGATATTGTGGTTTTAGTTTCAGACCACCCCAATAAAACAAATATTGCAATATAAAGTGTCTCGTGGATTTTTAGGTTTCCCAATACATATAAAAGTCATGTTCACACCATAGGGTAATCTATGAAGTATGTAATAACATTATGTCTAAAAAATGTAAACACCTTAATTAAAAAATGCTATTGCTAATGAATGCTAGTCATCATCTGAGCTTTCAGTGAGTAGTAACCTTTTTGCTGGTGCAGGGTCTTGCCTTGAAGTTGGTGGCTGCTGACTGATCAGGGTGGTGGTTGCTGAAGGTTGGGGTGGCTGTGGAATTTCTTAAAATAAGACAACAATGAAGTTTACTGCATCAATTGACTCTTCTTTTCATGAACAATTTCTCCATAGCATGCAATGCTGTTTGATAGCATTTTACCTACAGTAGAACTTCTTTCAAATTGGAGTCAGTTCTTTCAAACCCTGCTGCTGCTTCATCAACTAAGTTTATGTAATGTTCCAAATCCTTTGTCATTTCACCAGTTTTCACAGCATCTTCTCTAGGGGTAGATTCCATCTCAGGAAACCACTTTCTTTTCTCATCCGTAAGAAGCAACTCCTCATCTGTTAAAATTTCATGATGAGATTACAGCAATTCAGTCACATCCTCAGGCGCCACTTCTATTCTGGTTCTTTTGCTATTCCCACCACATTTGCAGTTACTTCCTCCACTGAAGTGACGAACTCCTCAAAATACATCCATGAAGATTGGAGTCAACTTCTTCCAAACTCCTGTTAATGTTGATATTTTGACTTTGTCTCATGAATCACAAATGTCCGTTATGTTATCTAGAATGGCGGATCCTTTTCAGAAGGATTTCCATTCACTTTGGCCCGATCCACCAGAGGAATCACTATCTACAGCAGCCTTACGGAATCTATTGCTTAAATAATAAGACCTAAAAATCAAAATTACTCCTCGATCCATGGGCTGCAGAATGGATGTTGTGTTAGCAGGCATGGAAACAATGTTAATCTCACGTACATTTCCAGTGCAGCTCTTGGGTGACCAGGTGCCATTGTCCATGAACGGTAATATTTTGAAAGGAATCTTTTTTTTTCCTTGAGTAGTAGGTCTCAACAGTGGGTTTGAAATATTCAGCAAATCACATTGTAAACAGATCAGGCTTTGTTGTTCCATTTATAGAGCACGGGCAAATTAGATCTAACATAACTCTTAAGGGCCCTAGGATTTTGGGAATGGTGAATGAGCACTGGCTTCACCTTGAAATCACCAGCTGCTTTAGCCCCTAACAGGAGAGCCAGCCTGTCCTTCGAAGCTTTGAAGCCAGGTGTTGCCTTCTCCTCTCTAGTTGGGAAAGTTCTAGACAGCATCTTCTTCCAAAATAAGGTTGTTTAGTGTCAACGTCTTCATTGATTATCTTAAGTAGATCTTCTAGATATCCTGCTTCAGCTTCTAAATCAGTACTTGCTGCTTCACCTCGCACTTACACGTTATGGATTTGGCTTCTCTCCTTAAACTTCATGAACCCACTACTGCTGGCTTCAGACCTTTCTTCTATAGCTTCCACACCTCTCTCAGCCTTTTCGGGAACTGAAGAGAGTCAGGAACTTGCTCTGGATTAGGCTTTAGCTTAAAGGAATGGTGTGGCTGGTTTCATCTGTCCAGACCACTAAAACTTTATACCAACAATAAAAGGTTGTTTTGCTTACTTATCATTTGTGTGTTCTCTGGAATAACACTTGTAATTTCCTTTAAGGACTTTCCTCTGCATTTACAACTTGGCTGAATGGCATGAGAGGCTTAGTTTTTGGCCTGTCTTAGCCTTGGACATGCCTTCACGACTAAGCTTAATCATTTCTAGCTTTTGATTTAAAGTGAGAGATGTACATCTCTCCCTCTTACTTAGGGGCCTCTGTATGGTTATTAATTGGCCCAATTTCAAGATTATTGTGTCTCAGGGAAGTTGGAGGCCCAAGGAGAGGCAGAAAGACCAGGAAATGGTCAGTGGAGCCATCAGAACACACTCAATATTTATCAGTTAAGTTCCTCATCTTATATTGGCACCCCCAAAACAACTGCAACAGTACTGCCAAAGATCACTGATCACAGCTCACCAAAACAAATCTAATAATAATGAAAATGTTTGAAAGAAATATTGAGAGAATCACGGAAATGTCACCCAGAGACACAAGTGAGCAAATGCTGTTGGAGAAATGGTGCCAGTAGACTTAACATTGGGTTGTCACAAACCTTTTATTTGTAAAAAACGCAACATCTGCAGAGTACAATAAGATGAGGTATGCCTGCATTGAGGGGGGGAGTTGAAAAAATTAAATACAGTGTATTGTTTGCTCTGGGTTGTCCTTTCTGTGATGGCTATCAGCATAGTAGGTATTTAGGAAAAACTTCCGACTTAGGCCTAGTAACACACTGAAATATATCAAACTGTGAAACTGCAGTTTTAAAATTTGTCTACATCTGTAGTATAATGTAGAAGACATTAGTGAGTTATTGTTATCTTTTTTATGAACCAAGCTTTTTGTATAATTAAGTTCTAGAAATGTGACATAGTTTTTTGTTTGTCTGTTTGTTTCTTTACAAAAAATTTCAGTCACTTATTGATTTACTAGCAATTTCTTGCAAGAGTAGGGCTGGGAATGAGGAATTATTTCTGATGTTTTAGATGATTGAAAAATAAATTATTAGATTCATATTTGATGTTTATAAATGACACTTATATATATTTTTCATCTTTTGTAGTCTGTGTCTTATATGTACAAGGAATTGGAAATAAAGAATGGAGAGAGGTAAGAATTAAACATTTTTTAACAATCACTGTGCTGGTAGATATGGTATGAGTTACAATTTGATGAAAGTGATTCTTTCCTGTTTTTAGTTATTTTAAGCCTTTCTGTACCCAAAGATTGAATTTCTTCTTTATTTTGTGAAAGCAACCTTTGTGTTTTATTTTTAATAATACTGAATATTTGGCTGATTTATGACTTTCCTGTGGAATATTCTAGCCCTGAAACTTGTATTTTCCTCAGTCCAAAGTAAATTGGATGTGTTGCAGTTCTTATATAACCGGTCTGTGGACTTAGTGAGACTGAAGTCTGTCTCCCTTTTAGAGGTCAGCTGCAGATTTTCATAAACTATCACTTTAAAAGGCTTGAAGTATGTGTGTGATATCAACTATCACCTGCTTTTTGGCATTTAATAACATATTATTTGAAAATAAAGTAGAAACTCAGTTTCCTGATGCAATTATGCTTTAGTAGAGCCAAAGCAAGGAGGCAGAATTTCTATTTTAGTTAATTCATTTTCTGGTGTATGTCAAACAGAAGCATGAATGCTAGAGGGGCAAGGAACAGATTTTAATGAAAGGCCTTTCCATCTGCTTATAGTCGCTGGTTACCTCAGGAATTTAGTGCATTGCTTTAATGAGGTTACAATTTCTGGTGCGCTATCCCTAGTGAGGTTCATGCTATTTATTGCCACAGATTGCTTTGCAGCCAGCCATTTTATAATATGTGCCTCAATCATGAGATAGAGGGTAAGAATAGATCATTGTAATTTATTCTGAAAACTGAAAGGATAAACCAGTTCAAAAAGTGTCTGTGCTGATAATGGGTAGGTGGGATGCTGAGACCACTTTCTGTTATCTAATTGCTTTCCCACGTTTCTGTATTATTATTTGATGTTTATGTGACACTCCACATATCCCAGTGTGAACCCACCAGGCCTGCTTATTCTCCACTCCAAAGGTAGCTGATAACATCACCAGCCAAAATATCAAACTGCAGTTTTTTACAGCCATCTTTGACTTTCTTTCCCATACCTTCCTCATTTAGTCAGTTATCCAGTGTTATGAATTCTTTTTCATAAAAAATATCTCAGATAAGCCACCTCCTCTATTCAGACCCGTGTTGTCTTTTGTCTTCCTGTGAGCCTATGTCCCCTAATCATTTCCTTGACTATTTTCCAAAAAATATGCTTTCTTTTGTTATTCACTCTACAGTTCCCTTTCTCAAAGGCCTGGGACCATGCAGTGGATCTGCTGAATGACCACAGGTCAGGCTAGATAAGGCTGAGCATTTACCAGTGGTGTTTAGAAAATAACATTACTTGAGGGACCAACTAAGGAACTGAGATAAGAATCCATAGGTCCAAGAACAGGCATCTTGACCCAGGTGGCTCCCTAATGATGAGGCTTTCCTGCTGCCTAAGCAATGAGATACAAATTTCTTACTTACTTTATGAGGCCTTTTGTAATAATAATAATGACTAATGTTCTAAGACTTTTTTATATATGTATATATATATATAGACTAATTCAATTTGCACAACAACCCTAAGAGGTAGATATTGTTGTAATCCTTATTTTATACATGAGGAAACTGAAGCTTAAGTGACTTGACGAAAGTTACCCAATTGTAAAAAACAGAGTAGAGTTTTCGACCCAGGCCAGCTGGCTCCAGAACCTCTGCTATTAGGCCACCTTGCCTTGCAGAACCCTTCTCTGACCCCAACCTTTACTTTTTGGTTTTATTAATGGAAAGACATTCGGTAAATTGATCTTTGGAGCTCTCTACTAGTTTTTAGAAACTTGACTCTAAAGGAAAGACAGCAGGGGAGGGGGACCTACTATTTAAGAAAAATGGCATAATTTAAAAATGAAAACAAAACAATAATTTACATGTTTGTTTTTTTCTTTGAAGGGATAGGAATTATTAGTAAGAGGAAATAATACTCAGAGGGGGTATGGAAATAAAGTAGAAGTTGAGAAGGTGATGAGAAATAGGACCCAGAATCATACAGAGTGGGTAGAAGCAGATGGACAATATGGGGAGATAGAGACAATCTCAATAGACTGAATTTCAAAAGAATGAAAAATGTTAAGACTTAAAAATTCTTTAGAAAAATAGAAAGGATGTGCCAGATACAAGAGTCAAGCATTTTGTAGCTAAAATCTCTTGCATTTAGCAGCTTATCAAACATGTTGGAGCCAGACCCAAGATGGCAGAGTAGGTGGAAGCTATCCTAACCTCCTCCCAGGACCAAACTGGATTTACAAATAAATTAAGGAAAAATCATCCTGAATAACCAACTGAACACTAGCTGGAGAAAAGCCTTATAACCAAGGACATATGGAAGAATCCACTTCACCACAATGAGAATCCCACTTACCCTGGGCTGCAACAGAGGGAGGGCAGAGTGACCTACAGATGTGTGAGGAGAGTCAGGGACTGGTGACTCTGGGGAGAGAACTGAAGGAACAGCCACCAGGGTTCCTGTGCTGAGTCATTCCCCACACTGCAGAACTCATCTTTCTCAGGCAGAGCACACCCCTCCAGCTGGCATCAGCCTGAGGGGAAGCAATAGCCCCACCTGCAGGAATCCCTCTTGCCCCACACTGGAGTTTAAGCCGGGCTGCTGAGTACAGTTGGAGGCTATTTCAGTCATTAAGCCTAACAGCAAAGGAGTATCTCTTGGACCTCTGAAACTTTAGCTGACCCTCCCCCAAGCCTGGTGTTGGTAAAACCTGGCCTGGGTGCATAGCCTGGTTCTTTCTGCACTCAACCAGGCCCAGCAGAGGAAGCTACAAGCTGTGGATCGCTGATAACTCCAAAGAGGTTGCCCAGGGCCAGACACAGGCAATGTCTGACATAAGCCTGCACCACAATCTTTGCAGATCTACCTAATATATATATAAACAAATACAAAGAAGCAGCCAAAATGGGAAGACAAAGAAATAGGCCCCAAGTGAAACACAAGAGAATACACCAGAAGAACTAAATGAAATGGAGGCAAGCAATTTATCAGATACAGAGTTTAGAGTAATGATTATAAGGATACTCAACAGCATGAAAAAAGACATAGAAACCATAAAAAAAAGACCAGTCAGAAATAAAGAATGCAATATCTGAAATTAAATAATACACTGGAAGAAATAAACAGTAGGTTAGATGAAGCAGAGAATCGAATCAGTGATTTGGAAGGCAAGGTTGGAAAAGACACCCAAGCAGAGCAGTAAAAAGAAAAAATATAATTTAAAAACATGAGCAGAGCTTAAAAACCCTTTGGGACAATGCGAAGCACAACATCTGCGTCATGGGGACACCAGAAGAAGAGAGTGAGCTTAGGATCGAGAACCTGTTTGAGGAAATAATGACTGAAAACTTCCCTAATCTGGTAAAGGACATAGACATCCAAGTCCAGGCATCACAGAGAGTCCCAAACAAGATGGACCCAAAGAGGCCCACACTGAGACACATCATAGTTAAAATGAACACACTGGTTAAAGGACAAGGGGTGAAAAAATGAAATACACTATGTATATTATTAAATCTCCTCAAAGCATTTTAGAAAGACAGTTTCCGTATTTTGAGAGCCAGTGTGATATACTGATTAAGGGGTTGCACTTGACTTCTCAGAGTCTCTGTTTCCCCTTCTGTCACGTGGGGAATGGTGATAATGGCTCTAACTCATGCGGTGGTTGTGAGGATGAAATGTGAACCACTGATAAGGATTATGTGTCTGGCACATAGTAAGAACTATATGATTATGGATACATTGGGATTCTAAGGGATCAAAAAACTCTTATAAGCATAACAAAACTAATAGGTGACAGCTATGTAAATTCCTGCACTATAAAATTCTGTAAAACTCATTGCTGAAGCCGAGCAATTGATGGGAAAATGACCTAAGGGATTTACTTGGCCTCAAACCTAATATGAAGCTGTGGTGTTACACAGCTGCTAAAAAGCTAATGCAATCTGAGGATTCATTGATGGATGTGCAGTGCTTACATCAAGGAAGATAATGCTGTTATGTTGAGCTCTATGAAATTGTCATTTTTGTAGGTCAGAAATGGTTGCATTGGTAATTTCATGTGATTCAATTGAACACTATTGTATTCTGCCTTGGTGGGAGCCAATGTAGACTGTTATTTTTCAGTTCTATATTTGAGACCTTTGAAATGCCAAGTATGTATTTAAGGAGGACTGTCATCTTGAAGAAGTGTGGAAGCCATGCCATTTCAATGAAGTAATGTTTAACCTAGAAAATGCAGACTGGGAATAGTCATAACTGTCCTCAAATTCTTGAAGTATTTCCACTAAGAAATTGGGGTATACTTATTTGGCATTGAAACAACAAAAAAAGGGAAACAAAATATTTGGTCCAAAGGATTGAGGGACAAAGAGGCCTTATGTGGTCCACTGTGAGGAAGACATTTGTGACATTTGGAGCGTCGCAAAGAACGGGTTTTTTAGAACTGTGTCCTGCGACTCCCGAGGTCGTCCTGTATTCACACGGGCGTTAGACTGGTTCATCAGGTAAGGAGTTGCATTTGATTAGCTGCGATTTCCTTGTGAATCTGTGATTTTATGGTGGTGTAGAGTCAAAAAGAGTTTTCTACTCTTTGTTTCGGTTCACTCAAGTATCTCTTAAGTATTGAACATTACTTTATAAGATAATAGCAAAACCAGGATAATAATGTGGGGGAGAAAGAAACTTTCCTCTGGCTTTCTAGGTGCTTTGAGTTGGTCTAAGAATCAAATAGACATGAAGCAGATTAATACAAGAAAATGTCCATATTTAGTTACATAGGTACTCGTGGGAATCCCACATATACGAGAGAGTTAAAGACAACAACGTACATGAGATGTTCAGAGACAGAAAGGGGAAATGAAGCGAATGTGACATTCCAAGTTAAGGATGGGGCACCTTGGGGCTTCAGAGAGGAGGGAGGGTATTGCAGGCTGATAAGAAGCACACACGTTCAGTAATTAAAGTTTTTTTCTGC